AGGGGGGGAAGAGAGCGAGAGGGGGGGAAGAGAGGGGGGGGAAGAGGAAGGAAGGGAGAGAGGGGGAGGGAGGGAAGTGGGGAGAGGTAGAAGCGAGGGAGAATTTTTTATGCAAAAAAATCAATTTGTGCAAAAGGTAAAATCGGCCAACTAAATTAAAATCGGCCAACTAAACGATTATGAAAATAATAGTTAGCTGCAGCCCTAAGACTAGTCTAACAGCCAGCCAGCTTTAGCCCTTGCTTTGCTTACACAAACAGCTTTATTAAGGAGAAGACCCTCTTCTCTCTTTCTCCTGATCACAGACATATTGCAACTTGCATTCATTAAGAGCACTGCATTGGTAGGGTCTCTTGTAATAGCTGTATTAAAAATTGGTTTACATATTAAAGCAATTTCCATTAATGACCTGAAATGTGATGCTAGTGTAACTAGTTTGCTGATTAGCACATACAGTGGTACCTCGGTTCACGAACTTAATTAGTTCCACGATTCTGGTTGCGAACCGAATCAAACTGTGATCAGACCGCGATCTCCACTAGAGAAGTCACGACCACGTGTCAGAGCAGGGAACATGGCTGCGGTTGTGTTCATCACTTAATGCAGAATTTGCGAACAGAAGCAAAATTTTGCACACAAAACCATTCACATACATTCTACAGTCTCTAGCAGAGACATATAATCTGGCACACATATTCTAGGGCCAATATGATAACAAATTAACTTGCCAGTATAGATTTGGGTTGTAGGAGAAAACCTAACCACCCAAAAATGCTATGGTTACAGTGTATCTGGTGAGACTAAGTCAAGGACTCTAAAAAGATAAAAACAAGATTGCTAACCACAGAAGAGCATTTAGCGAACCTTATCTCTCCATTGTGGTATGTGAACAGTGTCTGACACCCTCAAATGCTCTGATGCTTCAAGCATTTGTTTCAATGTCTCTCAAAAAAAGGTTTCACCACTTGAAAGCAATGTTCTTGGTGTCTGCAAAAAAGACTCCAGATGGGTGCACTAAACACTGTATGCAAGGCCAAATGATTATGCCATTCATTATTAAGAAAGAAAGCTGGTCAACTAACCTGTATTTCCTTTAGGTCCTTGTCACACAGATTCTGAAGAGGATCTAGAAAATTTTGTTTGACTTCTATGTCCAGAGAATCTTTTACTTCTGCTAATCTCTTCATGGATTCCCCAGCATCCAACAATGCATCACCTTAAAAGAAAATTCAATTTTACTGGCACATTCCTCCTTTGTATCAAATAAGATAAAAGAGGGTTGATCATTAAATAGTTTACAGTGCTGCATGAGCAATTACAAAACAAGTGAGTGTTAAAGCAGCAAAAAGCAATGATATTGTTGATAAATTAGCCTTTGCATTGAAAACTAGGTTTTTCTTGTACTCAACGTAAAATCCTTTTCTCTACGTTCTTTGAAGGACACAGTGGAGATCTTTATCTCTGTACCGATGTGTTATACCGCCATTTGCAGGAGTAGGATGCTAGGCACAAAAAAAAAAAGAAGACGCTTGGCTCTGCGGGTGGCTCCTGCTGGTGGCCGCACTCACATCCAAGGTAGCTCAGTCACAAAGCAGTGGAGCTAAAGGCACAAAAAGACCCAAAGTAGGGAGGGTGCTATGTCCTTCAATAAACGCAGAGAAAAGGATTTTACGGTGAGTACAAAAAAATCCTAGTTTCTCTTTTGTTCATTGAAGGACACAGCTGAGATCTTGATCTCTGTACCGATGGGACATCTCAAGCAGTGTCCACTAAGGGGCAGGAACAATAAACCCTGGCTTACACAAACTAAGCAGTCGCCTGTAAAACTTAGCGACCAAAGAAAGCATCTGCAGATGCAACAATATCAACTCTAAAGGAACGAGTAAAAGTGTGTGCCGATAACCAGGTAGCCACCGACTGGAGAACCAGGTGCTTGATGTTGAAACGCAATTGAGATGCTAACCGCACGAGTAGATTTAGCTGTAACTGGAAAAGGTGTAAGGTGTAGATTGTCCTATAAGAGCATAAGACTGAACAATCACTTGTAAGTGCCAACAACAAATGGTAGTTGTAGAAGCCTCTTCTCCTTTCCGTGGGTCCTCACCTACCGCATCACTAGACGGAGGTGGCGACAGGCGACATGTCCTCCGCCGGCTCCAAGCAGCACCAACGAGGGAGATCTGCAGGTGAGAGGCAGACCCGCACTCCAGCCAAGATGGCGCCGCAGCATGTCTCACAGAGGCAGGCACATGAGGCCTCCCTGTCTCACTCTCACAGGGAAGACACAGAAAGCAGAGCCAGCTCCCCCTCTCACCCCAGGTCTGATTCTTTACAAAAAGACCTCCTTAAAAGAATAGACCGTATGCTCCAGAAAGCCTTACAACAAACATCTAAGCAGATCACAGACAAGCTAACAAAAGAAATACGTGATCTTGGGCACAGAACATCTGATCTAGAATCCAGGATGGATGTCACTGCGATGACCCTGGAAACGCATGACCGGGAGCTGGACGCCATGAAAGACAATGCCCTTCTCCTCTCTAAACTGGAAGATTTAGAGAATAGATCACGCCGCTCAAATATCAGAATAAGAGAGATACCTGAATCTATTCTAGACGTCCCAGCATTTGTTACGGCACTGCTTCAAGAATTGGCTCCGTCCATACCTCATGAAAGACTGGAGTTCCAATGCATTCACAGAGCCCTGACACCCAAATGGCCCACCACTCGACATCATCGCAAAATTTCTATACTTTCGTTCCAAAGAAACCATACTCCATGAAGCACGTATCAAACAACCCCTCAATTTCCAAGGGCACAAATACCAAATATTTGCAGATCTCGCCCCATCCACCATAGCTAAACGACATGAACTGAAACCGGCAGTCAGATCCTCCAACGACATAAAATTCTTTACAGATGGGGTTTCCCCTTTAAATTGTCGTTTTCTCACTAAGGGTGCCAACATCACGCTTCTTCGCTCCAAAAGCTAAATGCCATCCTTGAGGAACTCCATCTTTCCCCTGTTTCTTCAGACCACCACCAGGCTCCCTCCACTTTGGATGTAATTGCACAGATGAAAAAGTCCACCTTTTCCCCACAAGATCAACCACACGGCATTCTGACTCGGAATCGATTGGATGAGGGTAGCTATTGACTAATATAGTTGGTCCTCATTAACACAGCCGATTTTCGACATAATTGTTATACAGTTGATTATAGAAGTTTTAGAAACTTGAAATGCTACCCAACCTTAATTCACACCTATAAGTCTGAATGCCGTTGATTTTAGTATCACTCAAAGTATTACACGTGGAATGCCTTAGTCTTAGCCTGTTTTGGGTGGATACACACAGTTAGGTTTTAGATGGTGTCTATCCACCTATCTGTAGAAGCGGGAGTCATTGCTCGCCGAATTCTCAAGTTACTATGCACTCCATATATTACATTATGTTAGGCCAGAGGTGTTAATGTTATTTTAATTATTTTTACATTTTATTTCTGAACTGCTGAATAGTGCATTTTACTGAGAGAATAGATCGGAGGGTGTCGGAGGGGAACTGCCCATCCGTCACCTACTCCTCTCCCTCGTCCCAACCTACGGGTTTGGAATGGAGATGATCTTTCTGCCTAGGGGGGCAGTCCGTCACAGGATATGTGGCGGGTGACTGGCCCCTGGTCAGAACTTGCAGCCCACACTGCACCCCAAATTCTTTCTTTACTTCCAGCCTTCTCACTTGATCTTTTCCACCCCACCCCTCCCCCTGAGCGCTCCACCTTACTCCCTACAAATGTCCCGAGACCTTAACTATCTACTCACACAACCTTGATGATGTCCCTGCAGTGCCTAACCCTTAATGTCAATGGATTCAACTCACCCAATAAGCAGAATCAAGCATTCAGACAGTTCCGCTCTAGACACATAGATATTATTTGCCTTCAGGAGACTCACTTCTCACGCTCGTCCCACCCAAATTACTTCCACCACCATTTCCCACAAATTTATATGGCCAATACAGACACTTAACATAAAGGGGTCCTGATTGGTTTTGGGCGCTCAGCACATTTGCCAAAAAGAGATCCCTGACCCGCCAGGAAGATATTTAATCTTAACAGGAACTGTTCGTGACGTGGAAGTGACCATCGTCACCTATTACGCGCCAAATTCCAATCAGATCCCCTTTTTTAGACACCTGTTCTCAGTTATATCCGCGCATCAACGGGGCACCCTCCTCCTATGCGCTGACTCAAACTTAACGATCTACCCAAGTATCGATCGCTCTAACACTGCAGCTTCCCCTCCGGACACCTCTAGAGCTTTTCGTCTGCTGTTATCCCAATACGCCTTAGTGGACTGCTGCCGAGAAATGAACCCGACTGCCAGAGACTACACCTTTTATTCGCATCCATACAATTCATTCTCAAGGATAGACCACTTTTTCACTTCCCATGCCACCCTCCCTTCAATCACGGGTGCAACCATCCATCCATTTTCATGGACGGACCACCGAGGTGTCATTAGCCATTTGTCCTCCTTTTGGTCAGAATCAGTAGATCGTTCATGGTCTCTGAATGATTCCCTGTTGACTGATGATCGTGTACGCTCATCCCTAGAGTCAGCCCTTACGGAGTACATAACCCTTAATGACACCCCAGAGGTTTCCTCCATGACCCTGTGGGAGGCACATAAAACAGTCCTCAGAGGAGAATGCATCTGTGCAGCATCCTCACTCAAAAAACAAACACAAGCCCGTTTAAAAACACTTGAAGACACATATACAAAACAAACTCAAGCATACACGGCACACCCAACCCAACTAAACAGTACACAGTTAGATACGGCCAGACGAGATCTGAATTTACTCCTAATATTGCAAAAAAAAAGCCTACATAGGACCCAACATAAGTTCTATCTTCATGGTAACAAGCAGGATTCCTTACTTGCTCGCCGGCTGAGGAAACTAGATTTACAACAAAAACCGCTCCGCTTACATATGTCAGATGGAACAATATCCAGCAACCCCCGCAAAATAGTCCAAGAATTTGCACATCACCTCTCATCTCTCTACCAACCACACGGACCGTTGAACATTGAACTACAAACCCAAACTATGGCCAACCTGTCACTGCCAACCCTATCCGATACCCAGCGCAGTTCCATGGACAGGCCAATAACAAACCTCGATGTGCAGGCGGCCATAAAATCCCTTAAGACCAACAAAAGACCTGGCCCTGATGGCTTCACAGCGACCTACTATAAAAAATTCAGTGATCAATTGACCCCACTGCTCACTAATGCATTAAACACCCTCAGAGTTAACGGTCGATTCAGACAGGAATCCCTAGCGGCTACAGTATGTATGATCCCAAAACCAAATTCAGATAATACCACCTGGTCGAATTTCAGACCAATATCGCTTCTGAATCTCGACATCACAATTCTAGCTAAAATTCTTGCAACTAGATTAAATGGACTGATAGGGGACCTTATCCACAAGGATCAAGTGGGCTTTATGCCACGCCGCCAGGCTGGAGATAACATCCGCAGAACATGTCTTCTGATAGACCTAGTGAGTTAACTAAATATTCAGTCGCTGCTACTATCGCTAGACATGCATAAAGCGTTTGACTCTCTGTCATGGCCCTATCTGTTGGACATAGGGCTGCAGCTAACGATTATTTTTATAATCGATTAGTTAGCTGATTATTAAGTTCGATGAATCGGATTTCTTTTTTTTAAAAAGGCTCCAGTGATGGACTACTAGTTTGTATTGAGATTGTAGTCCATCACAGGAGCGAGCTTGGAGTGGTGGAAGTAAAAAAAAGTGTGGTGTGCAATATAGTACATTATACAGCGGCGCAGTGCAGAATACCAGCAGCTATAGAGGAATACAGCAAATCGCAGCAATCGAATCATCGACGATCGAAAACGTTGGTAACGTTTTCGATCGTCGATTTTAATCAACTAAATCGAATCGTTGTTGCAGCTCTAGTTGGACATGCTGGGCCGCTGGGGATTCGGTAAAGAATTTTGCACCTGGATCTCGGCACTATATTCACAACCGGTTGCATCAGTGAAATACGCTGGTTACAAATCAACGCCCTTTCCAATCCGTAGAGGGACGCGTCAAGGATGCCCTTTATCCCCCCTCCTATTTGCCCTAGCAATTGAACCCTTGGCTGCTATGATACAGGCTCACCCCGATATTTCGGGTA